GGGACCAGTGCGGCCAAAAACTCCCAACACCGGAGTCGGCGCTGGCGGCGAAGCCGCTTCCGGCTGAAGAGTGGAGGACGAGGCGTGGGCAGCCCTGCTGCCGCCGCCCCAGGTAGCAAGCGCCCCCCCCACACACACACACACGGGCTCGCGTGGCCCAAAAGGTTGCAGGTTCAGTGCCTGGTCAGGCACATACCCAGGTTGCCCGTTCGATCCCTGTGCATATGGGAGGCGGCCAGTCCATGTTTCTCTCGCTCTCATTTAAAAAAATACACACAAAAATAAAAAACTACTGCACATAGAGGAAAATTAGAAAGTGATAATATATCTCCAGGGAATGGCTCAGAAAAGGCCTCAGGAGACATTATGGTTACATCTCAGGCTGATCCTAGGCACAGAGAGAACCTTTGAAAACTTATTTTAAAATAACTTAAAAAAAACACAGCAAACCCTGGGGAACGGGGAGAATCTAATTTCTAGAGTTAAGTTATTAGACCAACTGTCCAGTGTTCAATAAAAAAATAAAATAAAATAAAAACAAGATAGTCAAAGCAACAGGAGAGAATGCCCCATTAAGAAACAAACAAAAAACCCAGAAACCCGCTCTGAAAAGACAGGACAAGAGTGTGTGAACAAAATGGAAATATCAGTAAGTGATAGAAAACCTAAGAGGAAATCAGATAGAAATTCTGCAGCTGAAAGGTACAGTAAGTGAAATGAAAACTTCACAAGAGGGGTTGAAAGGCAGCTTTGAATGAGCAAAAGAAGGAACCAATGAACTTAAGATAGGACAGTGCAAATTATTATTGCTGAGAAACCAAAAGAAAAAAATTGGAGAAAAGTGAATCCACAGCACTTCAGGGACCAGTGGGACACCACAAAGCACACTGTAAACAGTAATAAAGCAGAACCCCTTTCAAATGGAGCTGGAGCTGCCCTCCTAGAGAAGCTGCCTTGCACATCTTAATGATTCAAATCTTTGGATGTTAAGGGCAAAATAACCTTGGACTGGGCCTAAACAACCTTGAGCCCCCCCAAAAAATGTTTGCAAAGATAACAAGAAAACAGTTATTATGACAACTAGATTGATGACTACCAGACTGAAAATTTAAAACATTATTTAGATTTGGCGTCACTATGTTATGTTATCTGCATCTATAGAAATGCCTTCCTTTTATGGATATAATTGCGTCCCTTCCCTTTCTCATAAATACCCACTGCCTTTGTCTCCTAACCAAAACACTGTTTGGGCTTCTGCCTGAATCAGTGCTTCCTGAATAGTTGTGCTTACTGATCTCAAATAAACATGTGTTTGCTTCTCATTTTGAAAGGCCTTTTATTTTTGGTTAACAAAACCAACTTCTGCATCATAGAGTTCTGGAAGAAGAGAAAGAGGTGAAGAGAATATTTGAAGAAATATTTGAAGAAATATTCTTCCCAAATTGGATAAAATGCATGAATATAAACATCCAAGAAGCCAGTGAACTCGAAGTAAAATGAAGTCAAAGAGACCCAAACCAAGACACATTACAATCAAAATTTCAAAAGACAAAGACAGAGAATATTGAAAGCAGCAAGAAAAAAGAGAGTCATCCCATACAAGGGAGCCTCAGTAAGATTATCTGCAAATTTCTCAGCAGAAAATTTGGAGAAGGCAGAGGGCTGATACAGTCAAAGTGCTAAAAGAAAAAGAACTGTCAACCAAGAATCTTATATCCAGCTATACTGTGAGAAATCAAGATATTTCCAGATAAACAAAATCTGAGAAGTGCCCTGGCTGGTGTGGCTCAGTGGTACACAGCAATAGTGAAAGACTAAAAGCTGTTCCTCTAAGATCAAGAATAAGACACGGATGTCCACTTTCACCTCTTCTGTTCAACACAGTACTGGACAGTCTAGCCAGAGCAGTTAGACAAGAAAAAGAAATAAAAGGCACAAAAAAGGGAGAAAAAGAAGTGAAATTCTCTCTATTTTCAGATACGATCCTATACATAGAAAATCCTAAAGACTCAACAAAAAGTTCTTAGATCTAATAAAAGAATTCAGCAAAGTAACAGGATACAAAGTCAACACACAAAAAGCAGCTGTACCCCGGCCAGCGGGGCTCAGCAGTTGAGCATCAGCCTAGAATCCAGGAGATTCCATCCCCGGTCAGGGCACATGCCCAGGTTGTGGGCTCGACCCCCAGTCAGGGACATGCAGGAGGATCAGTGACTCTCATCACTGATGTTTCTCTCTCTCTCCCTCTCCCTTCCTCTCTCTGAAATCAATAAAGACATACTTTTTTTAAGAAAGCAGTTGGATTTCTATACACCAGGAAGGAACAATTTGAAAAGAAAATTACCAGACTGAAGTAAACATTTTCTCATGTCAGAAAAACAGCCTGTTTGGTTTCTTTCTTTTTTATTTTTTTATACTATGCTTCTCATTTTTTTTGACATGAGGCTCTTTAAGAAAAGCATTGGGAGCAGATGGAGGAGGTTTATGGGGCAGGAGATGAGGGCTGTCCACACAGAACCACTGGGCAGGAGGAGCCACCCTGGAGGTGCACTCGCAGGGTGTAGCCACACTCGCGGGTCTGTGCTCTACATGTTCAGTCCTGTGGAATCTGCTGCATCCAAGACTCTGCCCTGTTTGGCGTGGAGGCCATCTCTGTTGCTTTGCTAATGAAAAACCTGACAAGGGTGCTATTTCTTCTCCACGTCCCCATGTTTTGCCAAAGGCTGACCATTTCTCTGATAGGTGCCCTGCAGCAGTCATCGCGAGAACAGCTCACGGGCACCCACAAAACAGTCTGTGTATCAACACTGGCATTTCCTCATTCATGAGTCCGTGAGACAAGAGATTGATCGATTGAAAAGAAATAAACCACCACAGAAAGCATGAATGGGAAAGTTGGGTAAGAGAAAAGAAAAAATGGGAGGAGTGATTTGAGAATAATCATGGGAACTGCCAAGAGAATGCCCTCGAATTCATATAAACAAGGAAATTTCTCCTGGGTCAGTTCCCTCCAGAAAGGTATTAATACTTCCCTTACTTTGCAGGAACCTAGCACATGCCCTCCCCGGGGTCCACATCTGTCCTGCTCAGATCTGTGATACAAAAAGACCCACGGGCAGCTGGGTTTTGCACTTCAGTGAGCAGGCTCACCACCTGAGGTTTCTCCTGGGGACTGCAGAACACTGGTCACAGCTCCAGAAAGGACTTCACAGACAAAATAAATTCCATGTGCAAAACAGAAATTCAGGCAGCGTGAAGCCGAGGCCACTGACAAGCCCTCATCCAGGCACAAGCTGAAAGCCAGGACACCTGGGCGTGAGGAGGACCCTGTCCTTGGAGCCAGGATCCTATACCAGCCTTCAGCTGATTGATCGATGAATTTATTACACCATCAACTACATTATCATCTCTTTTTAGTTCTCACCCAAGGATGTGTTCTTATTGATTTAAGAGAGAGAGGAAGGGAGCGGGGAAAAGGGAAAATCATAGATGAAGGAGAGCAACAGCGACTAGTTGCCCTCCGTACACACCCAACAGGGGACTGGACATACAACCTGGGTATGTCCCTGACTGGGAATTGAACCTGAGACCTTTTGGTGTATGGGATGATGCTCTAACCAACTGAGCCACACTGGCAGAGCAAATTACCATTTTGTATTCCACGCTGATATCACAAGGTCCAGAAGGACTTCTGAAATAAGGTGATTTTTTAAAAATTATACTGGTAACACATGAACATATTCTGCTCTGCTCTGCTCTGCAGATGTGCCCCCAATGGGTGGATCTATCGGGACCTTTCCACACATTCACGGGGCACACTATGGCTACCTGTGCTTTCATTCCCTTGATTTCCAATGCTGAAGACTGACCAGGGTCTGTTCCCGGCCAGCACACAGCCTCTGTGCTCAGCACATGCTCACTGAGCTCCTACTGGTGTCAGGCCCTGTGACTTTAGCGACACAGAGATGAGTTAGAGATAATCTGTCCTGAAGAAACCATGAAGCTACTAG